CTTAGGACCATTTTTCAACCGTAGTTTTTAGCCATTCTGCCCAAAGACCCAGGGAGTTGATCCTGGCAATGATTTACACAATCTCACCATTTTGGGGGTCAAACAATCTCCTTTTTCAAAAGATACGTAGAAGGGGTCACTTTTAATGCTAATGAGCTGGTCAAAAATTCTCACTTGAATTAGTGGTCTGTACCCTTAAGAAGCATGTGCACAACACATGGCATTTGTTGTTGATTGCTTTACACTTATGTCCTGGCCCGCTGCACACAGTCCTGCACATGAGTGAGAATACACGACACACCCCTTTCTGCCATTACTTTTACTACCACTACCCCCAAGAAACCAATATGTATACCATAGTATTTCAGAGGGAGTAACATAAATTTGTGTACTTCTTGATTGCCTGTACTAGACTTTACCAAGTCTTGCATGAATCTTATTTTGTAAATTTTACCACCAAAAGTGTTTTAAACCAAAAAATCCGGAAAACCAACACTGGATATTTGAACAATCAGGAAAAATCCGGAGGAATCTCACCCCTGATTGTGACTTTGACATTTGACCTGTCGGGCCTGAAAACAATAGGCTTCTTGTGACTTCCAAGAGAAAGTACACAAACCAAATTTGAAGTTCACACGTTAAATATTTCTAGAGTTATTGCACTGACAAGAATTTGGGACACACACACACACGGAAGGACAAGGCGGAAACAGTATGCCCCTCTGACTTTGTCGGTGGGGCACAAAAATGTCCAAAATTATAAATTATGTCAAACTACATATAGGATAACCTTGGGGACTGAAGTAGTCCAATCAAAACATGCATTTACTTCCCAATGGAGACATTGCTTCCACCCTTGAGACTAATCCGAGGAACACTGAAATTAGACGCCATTAGTGGGGGCCTCCCAGTAAGACAACCAGACGCGAACGCGCTGTACACGTTCCATTCAAGGACGCATATCTTCGCCATGCTACATTGTGCCCCAGCTATTATAAATACATGTGCCATTAACAGCAGGAATACCCCCACCCTTAGTTAAATGTAAATAAGCTCCCAGGCACCTTCCTCAGTTTGCTGCATTGCAGAATAAATCAGCTGGTCAAAAAGCACACATGTACATGTAGCTCTGCAAACGTTTCAAAAATGCAAATCATAATGACGACACTCAAGATGGACCGATGTTAATTTAAAGTAATACAATGAGTTCTTCCGCCCGCCCCATCACGAACAGAGTTTTGGCCCGTTTCCCGTCTTGACTAGCATTATGCATTTGGTGTGCACGATCTGAACTTTCCATTATTTTTAGGGGTTATCGAACACAAATAATAGTGACTATTATTACGGTACCGACTGTGATTTATTTCAATATTCATCATAATTTTACACTAAATTACACAGGTTGAGGGTTTGAAACAGACCGGCGGCGCTTGCCGTAGGCGTAGCTCTGCAAAGTGGAATGCTGTACTACGGTATCCATCCGTACCAGCACTTCACCGAACGCCATTGCATTTTCTGCAGACTAAGAAAACGTGAAAAGGCACCAAAAACCCTCCCCAAAACAGGTTCAGAAAACACAAATGAGAAAGAAAATTAGCCCCGATGGATCATTGGCTTCCTAACATTCCCTCAGACCACTTACATTTTTCACAAGAGTCCATAATTTACCCCAGAAATTCAGAAATGCATGTATTTGAAGCGACTTGAAACTAACTTGTGTGCTGTTGCCAACCTGCCGACTTAACCAATGAAATTGATGGCAGGCGTGCACATTGCGGGGGTAAAATAGACTTGATTTCAAGTCGTTATATAGTCGTGCACTGCAGCGCATGGAGCCAGTAACCGCTGAAGCATGCAACGATTACTGACTTATCTCCAAGTCTAGGGATTAACACCAACCACAAATTCGCTAGGTGAGAATCAGCAGGTCGGCGACGGCACACATATATTTTTAATTTTTTTTTTTTAGCAAACTCGTGTGAAAAATGTAAGTGGTCTGAGGGAATGTTAGGAAGCCAATGATCCATCGGGGCCAATTTTCTTTCTCATTTGTGTTTTCTGAACCTGTTTTTTTTTGGGGGGGGGGCTTTTTTATATTTTGTTATTCTGTGGAAAATTCAACGGTGTTCGGTGGAGTGCTAGTACGGATGGGTAACGTAGTACAGTGCTCCACTTAGTAAAACTACCGTAGGCGCATCCTCAGTGGGGGTCTTTTTTAGATTTTTAGTGGATTTTTAGAACGGGCGCTGAAGTCAATTCTGCAGTTTAGAATGGGCACCAGAAATTCGTAATTTCTTGGCGACAATTCGTATTTACGTAATTCAACAAAAAATTCGTAATAATTACAAATAATTTGTAATGGTTGGCAGCTATAAAAGTGGTCAAATAATTTGTTACAATACGACACATTAACGGTTTCATCCACCGCACCGTAAAGCAGAGGATCATATTTTGGGAGAAAATAAGTGCTTTTTTAGGTTTCAATTTATATTTGTGTATTTATTTAAAATTTCCAAACAACATATGGAAATAACCAGTTAACATCTGCAAGATAGTGTCTGAACTGAATTTACTTAGGAAACAAAGTTTGGGGGAAATGGAGTGGAAATACTATATGAAAGAAAGTGAATAACATGATGATTCCTATTAACTGTCTTCAAAAATATCAACAGAACTACCGGTATAAAGCCTGAAGACACAATGGCTGAGCAGAGTCCTGTTACCAGGTTGCCTCCACTGCCTTGTGAGGAGTTATAATGCAGCAAACAGAAACGGGCCCTGTGTCCTTGAAATATTGCATATTGGTTCCTGATACTTATAATGTTAAACCTGGGATATTCAGCTTTCAAATGCTATTTATTTCATTTTTTTGCTCCTGTAAACCAGAGATATGGCCCGTTGAACATAAATACCGTAAGTTGACAGCTCTTTCGCTTGTCATGTCATTATTCGGCCTAACAATGTAAGAATGTTGAAAGTAGCACAAACAGACTTTTGATTATTTGTGTTAAATGGGCCATATTTCTGGTTTCACAGGAGCAAAAAAAAGGTGGAATAAATGGCTTTTGAAAGCTGAATCTCCCAGGTTTAGCATCACATAGGCACCAGGAACCAATATGCAATATTTCAAGGACACAGGGCCCATTTCTGCTTGCTGCATTTTTTGGGACAGACTGTATGTACATGGGGATGATCTGATATTCAGATGTTATGTGCCTTGCAACTGAGTCCTACCCCCACTCGTAGCAGAGTTGACAGAGCAACACCCAGGAATTGGGGGAACCCTGTAAGTGCTAATACGTACTCCCCGCAATCCCATCCAATCCCATCAACCGGTATTGAGACTGGCTGTTAATTCATATCAAACCATAGTGGACAATTACAAATTGACAGTGTAGTAAAAGTCCATCCTTCTGCTTGAAATGATATTTTGTTTCAAGAAATTTATTCCACGACCATACATTTGGAGCCTTCTACTGTTTGGGTCACCTCATACATGTGCATGTTTAATTTTCAGATTTACTCCTTATTTTCTCCTGCATTTCCCTTTCAGCTTGTTTAGTCAGTGGTAAAGCAAGCCTGTTGAATTGCTGGCCTACCAGTTGACTAAGGAAAAAAACCTGTAAAACTGCAGTTAACTTTTTGAGGTGAACCTGGCCAACTTAACACTGTGAAAATGGGCTTAAATTGCAGTTAAACCAAATCCAGGTAATTAAAAGGGAAAATTGTATTTTCACTGTGTTGAAACTCATTGCAACAAGACATGAAACAAGCACAAAAGAAATTTTACACAAGGTTGGGACTTACCATGTTTTCTGAGCTGGCTGGTGTTCCTTGACTGCCTCGAGAGCTTTGCCTGCACCGACTCCCTTGCCTGCTCTGACTCCCTCGCCTGC